ATTTCGGAAAAATGCTAAGATTTATGTGAGCTGGACCGATTTGAAAATTGAGCTTTTTTCGTATAAAAATGGTTTTTTAAAGCTGAAAAAAAAATCACCTCAGAAGACAAAACATTTTAAGCTTAAAAAATTTGCATAAAAAGATAAAAAAAAAAATTCTACGGAACTATAATAATTAGATTTTTGAGGTTGTTTTTGCACTTTTTTCAAAGATTGGTTTAAGAAAAACTTGAATAACTCAGCCAAAACTTTTTTTTTTTGTATGGAGAGTGATGCAGTCTAATGTACATATATAAGAGTGGCATATGTGTGAGTGTAGATTTTGTAGCCCATAAATATTTTGTGCTCGTCAGATATTGTTTTGGTATATTTACTTGCGATTGCATATAACATTGTGAACACACAAATATTCACACGAATATTTGTAAAATGCAAGTGATAGAAAGTGATGCTCCAGTTTTGATGCAACACAATTTCCTGCTTTCACTAGTTAAACTAATGTTTAACTTTAGATTCTTTATATATGTATTTTATAAATATGTATGTATATACATTAGCGTACATCACTATCCATACCAAAAAAAAAATCGAATATTACTTTTCCATCGGAATTATAAAACTTACTACATTTTAAGACTTTAGCTAAAATATTTCGGAAAAATTATAAGACTTACGTGCGCTGGACCGATTTAGCATCAAAAATCGTTTAATTTTGATTGCAGTGATAAACTTTCTAAACAATTTTATGCAGACCTTTTAAGTTTGAACTCTTCTATCATCTAAGGCGATTTTTTGAAAGAATGTTTTTTAAAACTACTTTTTTTTCTAGGTATTAACAAATCGGCACAGCACACGTATTTCGAAGTATTTTGACGGCAGCCTTAGAATAAAATAAATTTCGTAATTCCGATGGTAGACCGCAATTTTTTTTGGCAAGGCACCCTAATGTGCAGCTTTTGATGTTTTAGTTTTTTCTCCATTTATTTCTGCAAGCAAGCATTTTCCTTGAAAACTGAGCATTTGTTACTTTTCCAACAGTGTTATGAGATTATCAATTGAATTTTTCCTCTTGAAGGTAAATATGAATGCAGGAAATTGAAGTAATTACATTTGCAAGGTAGAAAGTATGGTAAAAAGCAAAATTTTTTCAGGAAATATTGGGGTAGATAATAGATTGAGAGACATGGCAAAGATATGATTTGGTAGCAAAAGGAAAAAATAGAAAATAAGCGAATTAATTTAGCATTTATAATATTTTTCGTAATAGCAAAATGCTTGGAGGTAATTTTTTGTGAAATATTGGAAAGATTGTTAAATTTTTCAAGGTAAGACCTACTACTTTGAGAATAATAAAATTATGGGAAGCTTCAGAAGAGAAATATTAATACCACTAATTTGCAAATGTTCAAAATTAAAATTTCTTAATAAATTTTTATTTATGACTCCATTATGTTGGTGGTACACATCGTAGTATACCAGAAGATAATTTAGGTAGGCCTTCTTTAGTCAAGCCATTCCAAGAGGCCTACCCAAGAGGGGCTGAAAAAAGTGTGTGTTAACCAAAGAAACTAAAACACAGCTCTGAAGAAATTTAGGTATACCAATCACGAAAGACCAAAAGGTACTCTACGTATTGCTATAGCAAGGAGGAACATTCGGACAGTTATCGCCTGCGAAAAGTGCTTGGGAAATATCCCACGAAACAAATTTATAGTCAGAAGCCAAATGACGACTCGAAGTCATTTAGCGAAGACATGTTTGAAGTGTTAAAAAGCACATATGTACTGCCAGAGTGAAACACAGAACACAACACCGCTGGTTATATCTCGTTTATGCCTGTAGCTGTCGTAATTTAAAAGGTTTATCCCAAGAGCTGGACCCTGGTGAAAGTTGGATTCATTCCAAAGGAGGTAGACCCTTCCGCGTAAAGCCAAGCGACTTTCGGCCGGTAAAATATACTTGTAGTAAGTGATGAAGGAGGTATCTGTAACCAGTTACGCATACCTTAGGAATCTAACGGTGAATACCCTGCTGTTACGGTTGCAGTACATACATTTGTCAGGTCTGCTAATGATTTTGGTGACGGCAGTAGAAAAGCCCCATCAAACTCTATACGACCTGGTTCAACACGCCTTATGCGCAGGTGAAAACCTTGCCCAGAGAAACCGGGTTTAATGGAAACCGGGGAAAACTGTCATGTTCCGCTTTTCAAAGACATCGGTGAATAAATCTACAATAGAAAACAAACTAATACACCTAACTACAATTCACCTCAACTCACCTTAATTGCAGTAGTTGAATTTCAGCTACTAATCTACGAAACTGTTTTTGGGTTTTTAGCCAGATATTTCGCTACTATTAGACATTTTTAAATCTATAAATAAATTCTAAATTTACTTTTAAGACGATCGAGTGCACCATAATGTGAAAATTTCTTTATCAGTTGCGGAAGAGTTTTTATCATACGTATATAGTAGACAAATTTACATCAAATTCTTTGCTAAACCCAGGGCTTCGCAGCAAAGTTTTTTTCATCGCTGCGTTCCGGTATTTTATTTTGCTCCGAGTTTCGCTCTTAACTTCACTCCCGCTCCCAATACCATTTGATTTTTATTTTTATTTTTACTTACGTATCTAGCCCTAACCGCTAAAAAATTTAGACTTTTTGTTTGAACATTTCCTTTTGGACGTAGAAATGCAACTAGATGCTCTAGGAGCACTTCGCGCAACCCTTAACTTTTTGGAGTTGTTAACCGTCGATGAAATAGGTGTATCATCGACGTGAATGCCTTGTTGAAGCTTGACCCTTCCTTCATGTTCATGTGGTGAAGAGGGTCGCCATTAATTTCGTTGGGCAGAGGGTTAGGCTCCTTGCCGTGCAGAGGTCATCAATTCCATTCCCAGACGCCAATACCGAGCAGTCGTCAGCGTATGAGATTAGGGAATTTCCCTCCGGTGGCGGGGGGAACTTTGAAATTTAGAAGTTGAAAAATAAGGAGGGGAGGACAACGATTTGAAGTCGCGTTGATTGCATTACTCAACAACTCTGGTCTTTATCAGTCAAGCCAATTTAGTGACAATCTTTTTTCCATAAAAATTTTCTTTTTCTTTCCTTACCGTAGTCGTAGTGCGCCTTCAATTGCGTGAAACTATTTTACTTTGTAATTTATGTAAAAAATGGTGACAAACCGTCGAAGTTGGATACCTCCATTAAATAACACATTTTCGAGGTAATATGTGTAAAAAAAGAAACATTACTCTGGAAATGCTATTTAAATTGAAAAATGGCTGTAAAACTGGTCAAATATACGAACCTCATTGCAAAGCTTTGGGAATCAACTTTCTCCAGAAAAAACTGAAATAATAAAAAAGGAAGTAGCACCCCCACCCACTGCTCTGCCAATAAATAATTTATTGTTGGTAAAAATTTAAAGAGTTTGAGTAAAAGCTCTTCTTGGTATATATGTATATACACATATGTACTCGTCTATTAAAAGCGGTTGCTTGTGCAAATATTTTTTATGCTTTCGCTTCTGCATAATTCCTTTGTCAAGCAACGTCCAACGTCGCCAACCATATCAGCTTATATATATGTGTATGTATGTATGTGGTACTCTTGTGTTCACAACGTTTTCAAGTTCCGGTGTATTGTTTGCTTTTACTACTCTTGTTGCATTTAAGCCATTGGCAATGAAGTGCAGAAAGGCGAACTCGAAAATAAAACTCGCACACACTTGGCACTGCCTGCCAATCGGCCAATCGGCAGGCGATGAAAAAATATTTCGCAACGTTTTTGTTTTGTTTTTCTTTTATCAATTCAGTGGAAAATTCACTTTTGTATAGGTTTTCGAACAATTCAACGTGCAACTGCCGCCCAGCCATTGACACACTTTTAATGAATTGCAACATTGCATCAAAAACTGAAAAGAGCAAAGTTTTTTTTTAAAAAACAAGCGCAAGTGCAAGTGCAAGTGTTGTATGGAAGAATAATTTCAAAAATACATACATATGTATATAGGCGGAACAGACAGAGTAGGCATGTATGTATGTACCTATGTACGTGTGTGTACTAATGGATGCGCAATGTGCGAAAACCTCTGTGGCCTGTCACTGTTTGATGGGGACTTTCGCCCGGCTAAAGCTATAGCTTTGCTATTGATGCCTACGTTCTTTTATCGTCTGTCATTTTCTTCAATGCCGCCCATAATACATAGCCTCATTGCGCGCAGTTTACAAAAGTTTTCTCATTCGCTTACTGATATATTGTACATACATATATGTATGTATACACACCATTATCAATTTTATGCGGACAATTGTTGTATATATTTGCTGATTTGTTGTCGTTCATCTGGTTCTTGTTTATTGAATATATAACTAGTAGGAGATGGGTATTGGCTTAACGGACAGTGGGTCGTTTCATTTCACTGCTTAAATAATCAGTTTCAGCAGGCTAATCGGTTTCTCAGAAAGCCCTAAGAAATAGTTAAATCTTCTTTTCTGCTATGAAAAACCGTACCTCCTTCCCGGTTGAGCCAACTTTAAAAAGATAATGCAAATATTAATCCGCTAACATAAAATTTCGTTTGGCAATTCTACCGAACCAATTTAAAGACCAGTAACACCATCTTTCTGTAGATGAGGAGATGAGTTTTTTTTATTGAGTGATTATAATTGTGATAAGGTGGTGAATAATGTGATGATGAAATGAATGATTAAGACAAAAAGGTTAAGGTAAAGTTGAAGATAAAGACGAACATAAAAAAAAACAAGGAAAAATGCATAAGAATTAGGCTAACAGAAAGGCTTAAATATTTTATCGAAATTTTTCGATAGTAATCGAAATAAATTCAGTCATACAAAATTTTGTTATCGAAAGCTAGTGTTGGGAAGTATCGAGTAGTTTTGAGCATCGGGTATTTTGCAGAGTACTGAGTACTTTCTTTAAATATACACATGTTGGTAACATTTCAATACTTACCCCTCTATTCTAACAGAGTCACAAAACTTAGCTCATCACTGTTGTGATTTCTAGTGCGCCGAGAAATGTGTCACAAAAAATTCGATTTTGGGTGCAAGAAAAATACACAAAATTTAAAAAATTTGTATTGTAGCGGCATATTTTTTGCAGCGGCAAGCTTTGAGGCGCAGTAAAAAATCACAGCAGTGATGAGCTAAAGTTTGTGACTTTGTTAGAATACGGCTGTTAGTGTAGAAATTTCACAAGCTGGCAGTAATTTATTTAAATTAATATACGAGTCCCAAATTACGTCAAATAAATGGCTAACTGTACTGTGTACAAGTATTGTATTTGAGAATTATTGAAACTGCAAATTGAGTACAATAATTTCTGAATACCCGTAAATGTAAATAAAACTCAATACTTTTTAAGTCTATTGGACACTTAATACTGGGTACTTTCAATCGATCCTGATTATTGGAACAGAGTATTTTTGAGTACTGAGTATTTTCGAGTTCTTTTAAGTTCTGAGTACCTTCGAGTTCATTTTGACGTAGAATACGTCTTACCTTAAGGTATGGGGGCTATGTTCAAATGTTGTAGTTGTAATTTTTAGAGCTTCACAAAAACGCTTATTGCACGAGAACTAATGAAGCGATTTCAAAGAAAAGTATGGCGTTTCAAAGATAAAATTCCAAACCTGTCGACAGATTCATTTTTGTAAATAACCAATTCGGTTTCGGTCGTAAAAACAACGGTAAACATTGCCTTATTTTGGGGTCAATTTTGAGCCTTTAAAGTGCTCTAGCAACTTATTGT